GCTTTCACGGGCTGCTGAGAGAGATGTGTAGCCACTGCTGAGAGAAGTGTTGGCTGGGATGTCTTCACGTGAGGGTTTGTGAGTGAAATCGAAGAGGAGCTCGACTGATTGATCGTGGGAGGAAGAGGTCTTCAGCTGTGGAGCTCGCGAAGTCAATAAAATAATAATAATAATGAAATGAAGCAGCCTGTAACGTCCCGCTCAGCTTTTTTTTAACGACGAGGCTTTGTTCGACATGAGGGATTTACGGGATCTATTCGGAGATTTCGATGTTATTATTTTGATGGAAATGAGCCGACCACTCAGGTGTCAATATTTGGCACGACCCGAAAATTTCGGGTTAAGGTCAACCCGAACCCGAAACAGGTCGGATTCGGGTTCAACATTTCGACCCGTTTCAAAAATCAGGTCGGTTACGGGTTAACCCTTTGACCCGAAATTGACCCGAAAGTGATCCATTTTGACACGAAAACCTGATTTTGACCCGGCAACACGAGATTGACCCAATTTTGACCCATTTTTGACCCAAAAAGAGGAGATTGCCCGTTTCGACCCGAAAATTAGTTTTTTTTTTGTTGGAAACGGGTCATTTGGGTCGTGTCGGATTGACCTAAACTCGAAGCGGGTTGGATTCGTGTCCGTAAAACCGACCCGTTTTAAAAAACAAGTCAAGTTTGGGTTGACCCGAGTAGTGCCGAGTCAGTTTCGAGTTTGACCCGAACCCGACTCATGACCAGAAATTGACACCTCTACCGACCACTAAAAAATATCTCCATTTACATGCTTCTTTATCGATATAACAATAATAACGTAAAGCCTTTGTCCACTACATGGACTCAGATACATAAATCATTTTTTCTATATTGTGTCCTTTAAAGTTTAAATTCTCACTCAAATATAAAAAAAAAATTCTACTACTTTTTTAATCTTTTAGATTTACCTCTACCTTTCTTAATATATAACAAATCCAATAGATACTCTCATAATTGAGTCATAAGAAGGTTAATATTCTATGCGACCAAATTATCTAAGGCATCTCTCTCTTTTCCATGGTGGATACAGTTACATGCATGGAATACTAACAGAGCTCATCGTTGCGCTTGTTATTTCTTCATTAATTTCGTGTTACATCTGTGCTCAACCATTTCTACTCTGCAATAAAGACATTTATATGTGCTTTTGTAAAAAAAAAATGCAACTCTCTCTAATCTTATTTGTCATTGGAGCTACTTTAATCTTTTCATCTATATATTAGTTTTAGATTCTATTTTTAAAAATAAAGGCACTCCACCCGAGCATCCTCATGTTGCCATAAAACATTGCCGATCTCACTACCATCTTATAAAATTTTTCCTTAAGTTTAAGGGCACATTTCTATCACACAATAAGCCCGATGCATTCCTTCATTTCAACCAGCAAACTTGAATTCTACTAATAATATTCTCATCTATTTCGCCATCACTTTAACAATAGATCATAAATATATAAAACATGTACTATTTTAAAACATATATATAATATATATATATATATATATATATATATATAATATATATATTTGCAAGTTATTGCCATAAAATAGAAAATCACCGCCTATCTGATCAAATATTGCTTTTATTTTAAAATATTTTAAAGGAAATATTCTTTAAACGCTGGATATTCCTTTTGAATTTAACATTAGCTCTCATGGTGGGATTAGTTGGAGTAAATGCCAATAGCAATATATAAAACATTAACTTTAAATAAATGAATTTATGAATAATAAAAAAAAAGGAACAAATCAATAAAAAATCCTTAAAATAGTCAATGTTATCTCAAGAAAGTATTTTATTTTTATAAAAATTTTAAAATAATATTACTTTTCTAAACACATAAGAGAACATCATAATAATTTGGAAATGAACTTTAGTCATTGCAGTGCTAGGCAGGTGATATTGTGACATATAAGATTCTGTGTACTTACAGCATTCAGGTTCTGAATCAAAAGACTTAAAAGATGAGCTTCATCATCATAATGTTGTATATATACAGCATTCAAATTCTGAATCCAAAAAACAATCCACCACAGTGAATGGATGGAATGTCAGACTATAGTGAATATTGAGGGATAAGATCTTCATCTCAAAACAACTGGATATAGTTTTCCTGCAAAGAGAAGAAAAGCTTCAATGTTCAATAAATGAAGAATGACAGGAGAAGCAATTAAGGCTTCGTTTGCGATAACTTTTTTATTGCTTCTTAAAGCAATTTTCTAACACAATTTTAAATTTTGTACTAAAAATTTACTTTAAGAAGCAAAAAAGAAAACCGTCCCAAACAATGCGTGAATGATGAAGGCTTCATTTAGGATGATTTTTTTACTGTTTCATAAAATAACTTTTTAATAAAAAATTAATTTTTTTATACTAAAAAACTATTTTAAGAAGCAGTAAAAAAGCTGTTCCAAACGAAACCGAAACCAAAAAAAAAAGTAGAGATCACAGAGAAAACAATGATGAATCTGTATTCATTTAAATAACCTTGAATGCATTTTCATCCCAAAACCAAGGCAGATCTTTTTCCTGAAAAGAAAAGAAAAGAGGCTTTAGATTCAATTCATTAAGGAGAAAGAAAAGGTAGAAACAATTTATAGCAGGGAAAAAAATGCTTCAGAAGTTGGTTAAAAACGATAGAGATGGCTTAACTTTGTACAAATATGGTCAGTTTATGAGTAAATTTAGGCAGATAATTATGTTTAGAGGATTAAACTCATTGGATAATCAATCAATTTCTAATTGATAATAATTTGCTTTGAAACAAAGATGAATCAATCAAAATTAGCTCGATTGAACTCGAAATTTATTTGATACATGATATGCATACATCCGCATCTTTACAAATACATACAAATACTTTTTACATTTATCAGATTATATAAACACAAAGACTATATATACTATATACATTCATCAGTTCATACTAAATATTAAATACAACCATAGAAATATGATACAAATAAAGAACTTCGAGACTTATTATGAATCATATTTAAGAAGTTAAGGGAATAATTGAACTCAAGAGATGGCTGAGATTAAAATAATCTCATATGAGTAGTACATCGACCATCTTGATTTCTTTTGTTGACCTGTAACTGCCGGATACCCACACCCAGCTGACAAACCCCATCGCTCGGACACAACCGTCGACTGCTCTCAGAATCTCAAGCAAAGAAGAAAGAAGATTTTGGGAAACTTACAGTGCTCTCCGTTGACGACCGAACTACACCGTCTCCGACCGCATCTCCTCCAGACCACTGGCTGTGCTTCCTTCTTCGAACTCGAAGCCAACGCGATCTCCGACTCAAACACTGGACTCCAGGACGCCGCCGACCTCACCTGCTCCGACACTGACGGCCGCAGCAACTGTTTCCTT